GCCTAAGTCTGATCGCTAAGAAGTCTTCTGCCCCCACGTTTTGTTTCAGATAGACTCTTGCTATGTAGCCAGGCTGATATTCCTGCCTCAGCCTTCTAGACACTAGGATTACACGCATGCATCCCCTGCCTGCCTTCTGCTGCTACTGCTGTTGGTTTTTGTAGGTGGTGGTCTTTAAAAAGAAATGTGGTCAGCAAGATGACTCTGTGGATTAAAGTATTTGTCTCCTAAGCCTGATGACCAGAATTCAATCCTCAGAACACACATTAAGGTGGGAGGAGAAAACCAGCTCGCCAAAGTTGTCCTCTGACCTCCACACATGTGCTGTGGCATGTATATGTCCATATACACACATCATGCACACATAACAATAATAATAATAAATATTTTTAAGAAATGTTTAGCGCAGAGAGTAAGTGTCCACAGGAGCGCACCCTCAGTAGGTGTATCTACAGTACAACCCCTACACTAAGAAACACAGTGGAAGAGGGAACAGAAAGACCAACCAACATGGAGACAGAACTGTCTAGACGTGAGAGGGATACTGAATCCACGACATCTCCATAGCAGTGTTACCTAAGCAAGGCCTGGATAATGGCCACACTGACCAGCATCCCAGTACAGGTGGAGGACATGTCATATGGCCCCACCTCTCCATGAAAAGATACAGGCTGCTCAGGGAGGGAGAATCCGTTTTTTACCAGGGATGAGTTTCTTGAACCCCAAGTAGTCAGCCCTAAACACACACATAGAGAAACAACACTAAATAAACCCAATACAGTGGTATGTGTATGTGTGTGTCTGTGTGTGTGTGTGTGTGCATGTATAATAATTACACAAAAGGAAATCATAAATTCAAGAAGGCATTGCGGAGGAGCATGGGAAGTGCTAGAAGGGGAGAAAGGGAAGAGTGGAAATGATATAAATACGGTATTTATGTATGAAATACTCAAAACCACTAATTTTAAAAAATTATTTTTGAATTGTCATGTACATGGGTGTTTGGCTTTTATGTTTGTTCGTGCAGCATTTACATGCCTGCAGGGCATCAGATGTCCTGAGACGAGACAATTGTAAACCTCCATGTGGGTGTTGGGAATTGAGCCCAGGTCCTCTGGAAGAGCAGAGTGCTCTGAACCACTGAGCCGCCTCGCCAGCCCCAGAAATGTTTTTTTTTTCCTTAAGAACGAATAAATAAATGCAAACGTAAATCCTTTGACCCGGAGAACATCATCCCAAACCAGTTGGACCAAACGAAAAATTTCCATTTATAGACAAAGCATCTCATCTGATAAAAGGGGTAGCCTGGCTAACCAAGAAAATGCTAGCAACCTTTCAGGCTGTAGTCTTCCCATTCAAAGAGCAGATGAGAACCGGAGATAGGGCAAAGAGAACTGTGGAAAAAAATTGAAATAATTAATGTATGCCTTAGATTTGGCTGGAGGAGTTATTTATGAGCATTGTTGCTTCCTCTACATGATCAGTATCTTCAAGGAAAATGTGATTTTTTTCCCCCTTCAGATGAAAGCGGTTCCAGCAGGAGGCTATAAAGACTGAAGGCACGCAAAGCTTGTGAGACGGCACAGTCAAGGATGAGGCAGGGTCTGTTGTGTTTGAGTAGACATGTGCAACCCGCCCTTGAGTTTCTGCACAAGGGCTCCTGAGGTAAGAGAAATAAAGACCGTGATGGGGCCAGGGATACAGTTCCGTCAGAAAAGTTCTTGCCACCCAAGCACAAGGACCTGAGTTCAATCCCCAGCAAACATTCCAAGAGCTGGGTGAAGTGACAGGTACGCTTAATCCCATGGGTGGGGAAAGTGGAGGCAGGAGGATTATCCCCTGAGGATCCCCGACTAGCCAGCCTAGCCTTCTTGGTAAGTTCCAGGCCAGTAAGAAACCTTATCCCAGAAAACAATGTGGATGGTACCAGAAAAATGTAAGCCAAGGTTGTCCTCTGCCCTCTACGGACACGTACACATTCGTGTACACACACATACACACACACACACACACACACACTCACACCAGACCAGACCATGATGGTTTGGGACCGGGCTTCTGTGAGGGACAGACATCTATTCCCCTGCAGACAATGAGGTAGCCCTTACGCATCACCAGGAAAGGAAATGCCATTACATTCATCTTTGCCTGGAGTGAATTGACAATAGAATGGCTGAGAGCTCCAGAAAAGAGCTGGAGGCTGAGATGGACCCACGGAAGCGGTGGAATGGGGGCATGCCTTAAATAAACTGCAAGTTTTGTTAGACATACTTTCTTCCCTCTTTTAATAGTTAACCTGACCCCAGCTCAGGAATCCAAGATAGCAAGGCATCTATTGTGGCCCCGGGGAGAGCTCTGCAAACCCCAGGACCTTACAGCCTTGGCTGCAGCCATTGTCCCAGGGACTTGGGGCTGGCCCTTCCCTCTTGGCTCTCACAGCTCTCCAGACCCACACAGAGCTTATCTCCAGCACGAGACTCAAGGGTTTATGATTTTAAAACATAACTTAAGTAAGTCTCCATCTTATCTCGGAATGAGTTTCCCTCTCACTCAGCGTCCCAGCTGCTTCTTGCTGCTCAGCCAGGCTCCTGCAGAGATAAAAATACAACTCATTTAGGTAAATGATTAAATTGAGAGTTACAATATCACTGATTAGGTTTGAACAAAGAAGAGGGAAAAGAAAGCAAATTCTTTGAGAGGGTCAAGGAAGTGCCTGTCCTCCTATACGACCCCCAGGCAGCTCCCACCCTGAGTGACAAGGGTCTTCTGAGGGTTCCCTTGGGGGAACCTCCCCCACTCGGTGTCACTAGGGTCTCTGCTTCCAACCTCAGAACAACTAGCTATTGTCTCCTGAGTGTGCATGTGTTGGTGAGTGTGTTTGTGTCTGTGGGTTCCTTGGGATGTAGAAGGAACCTCCCGGATTCAAGCCTATGTCTTGAACCTACCAGTCCTGAAGGTGCTGGGGAAGAAGATGCAAGTTGTGTGAAGAGAATCAGCGTGACTACACATGGTGAATGATTTAGAATATGTAAGACTGGGTGTAATGAATGCAGGTAACAGGTAACGATAAAATAGCCACCAAGGTATATGATAGGTCAGCGTGGGGCACACTTGGGGTTAAGGAGAGAGGTACCTTGAGTACCCAATGTTATCCTTCGCAGAGGCCAGTCCTACATCTGCGTAAGACCAAGAGTCAGTGTCTCCTGAGAACAGAAACTCTGGGTACCACTCTTGCTATATCTTCATCCCAGCCCCGTGGCCCACAAATTCCCCAAGATACCAAAAGCAGGCTCCACCCCCTTACCTTAATTCTGGCATGATAGAAGAGGGAGGGAAACATCCTAGCGAACAAAAACTTGCTGGTCCATCAGAGCCATCCCCCAGCAATCACCACAGCTTCCCACTCACCCCATCTTTAGTTGAATTCCTAGTCACAGGAAGCCCCAAGGAGCCGGGACAGAAGAGCTAAGCATCCTCCAAATCCTCACTGAGAGTATAGGAGGCCATGGAAAGTAATGTCATTGTTCTTGCTTCATTTTACCCTAGAGCCCAGCCCTGTGCTACTGATGAAGATGGTCAAGGAGATAGGCCCTCACTCAACAAAGCCAGCATCATTCGATTCTCCTTAATAATTGGTCACACCACCAGAATGGCACCACAGCCCTCCACCACTGTAGAGGCTAGGATGCTAAGTTTATGAGACAGATCCCAGAAGATATGGTGTCTAGGGGAACAATGCTTTGCAGGAACCATGTGTCAGGAGAATGATGTGTAAGGGAAACCAGGTTAGAGTGTAGAACAGTCCTGTGTGGTGGCCCAGTCAGAACCCTGGTCTGGAGGGTTCCGTTTGACCCACACAAACCCTCCAACCACACAGGGCCCCTGATCATGATTCAGCCTGACCGTAGCCTTTGAGGTTTTGTTCGATGTTTTTTTTTTAGCACAATGTTTTCCATGGCCTTTTCATTTTGCTCTATGTTTAGAAAAAAAAATTAGACGATACCTTAACATTCCATGTCCCCCTTTATTAAAACTGGCATTGAAGTGGTACTTTTACAATGAACATGCCAATATGGAGTAATAACTGTTAGCTAAAGCCTATTGTTTTCACTAGAGTATAGTCTTGGTACTATATATTCTGTGGGTTTTGGCAAATGGATGATAACATATATCCATCCTTATATGATTGTATAGAAAAACCCCAACCTTAAAATCCCCATGTTCTACCTTGTCATCCTCTCTGCCCCTACACTGGCAGAACTATGTTTTTATATCCAATTTTGCTGGGCGAAATATATAGTCTCCTTTTTCCTCTTTAAAAAGGGATGTTGATTGGCTCAGGTGGGATCATCATAAAGCAGAGCTCACAGAGTTTCACCAGGCCCAGTCAGAGGCATTCAATCCCTATTCCCCCAATCTCTGAGTAGAATGCAAGACTCCCCGATCCCTGCTGTAACTCTCTCCAGGATTCTGCACAGAGCTAAGCTCAGTGGGTGCTCTGGTCTGGCCAAAGAGGGTGAGGGCAGTGGGTGGAGGCATCATTTGCACCCTTGCTTGTGAGTGAGTGGGTTGGGGGCAGGTGACATCCAAGTTAGGCTGAACTGAACGGGAGAGAAAGTGTGGGTGTGCCGTGGGAGCTTGAGAGAAGACAGGGCATAGCAATGCCAAGCAACCATTCTCAAAGCGTCACCAAGGTATCCCCTGGGGGCTCCCAGGGCCCTTGCCAGGCCTCATGAGTTTATGGTTTTCATAGAAATACTATGTAATACCATCCATTCTCATTCTTGAAACAACATATGAACAAATTCTCTGTCTATATGATATGTCGTCTCACAACAGATTAAATACATAAGCAGTTATAGCATCCCAGATGTCTTCTGTTAAAGCAGACAATAAAGAACTTCTCAAAAAGTTAAAAAAATCCTTTTAAACATATTTTTATTATATCTATGTATTTTATATGCACACATATGTGTGCATGTGGCTATGTACATGACAGGTGCACCTGTGGAGATCAGAGAACAAGGTGTTTGGAGGTATTGAACTCGGGTTGTAAGCCTTGGTGACAAGATCCTTTATCGACTGAATCGTCTTGCCCACTGTTTATAAGAGTTCAAATGCAGCTGAGAAGAAGTGGTGGTCCAAGTCTTTCTGCAGGACAGACTACCCGCTGGCAGACATCTGGGTGCACATCACATACAGCCATGCACACAGGTCCATAGTGAGCAAAGGCTCCCAGGGAGAGATGCTTTCCTACGAACATGAACGCAATTACCACCCAACTCAGGCTTTTCCAGTAGCCGTGCTACCATTAGCCGGAATTGGGTATATCATAAACATACTGTTACCAGCTGCCTTCTGGGCTGTACCTCATCCTTGTCTGTTCGTCTCATCCCAGACCCACTGGTCTCCACTCATTCATTGATTGTTCAGGTCCTGCTTATTGATTCAAGCCCTGTGTAATCAGAAGCCTAGAGGGCACCACAGAGATGCTAGGAGACTGGGTCCTTTGCCCTGGCAGGTGTGCCCTGCGGTGGAACATTGTAGAACGTTGTTTCATCATTAAACATGGTAAAGATTTCAACTCCCTATCTCAAATGGGAAGGAAGTGGGAGGAAGCCAAGTCCCAGTGCCTCTCACCCACCCTCACACTGCTGAAGGTGAGGCAGGCCTCCCGGCAACATCCTAGACTTTTCCCCTGTTTCCTCTGCTAGTACTCCTGGAAATTGCCAGCTCCAGAGAACTGGAGCACAGCTTTCCTTACAACACTCCCTTCTCACATGTCCATGCCCAGCTTCGACAGCACTGTGGTTGTCCCATTGATCCACAACCCCAGCTCCCGAAATGCCTCAGCTTGCTCTGAGAAAATCAAGCCCCTGAGTCTCCCCTGACCCACACTGGCCTCCTCCAGTCTCCCTGTACCCTTCCTGCATTCTGCTATTCTGGATGTACCAAGGCTCCACAGTCCCGCTCCTTCCCTTCACAGCCCGCATACCTTAGAGACAACAGCAGCTCTCAGAGTTCAGCTAGGTGGCCAGGCTGGCCTGGGTGAGGGACACTCACGAGGGCAGGTCAACAGGGCTTTGTTAGAACAGAGATAACCCTCCTGATAGAGAGCATCCTCGCTATCTATCTAATCAGCGGGTTTCCCAGGCCTTTCCCTTGGACTGTGTTTGCATTTGTAAAAGAAAAGAGCCCAGAGCCAAGGATGCTACATTCTTTTCCTTGTTTCCTTTTCCTTTTCTTCTTTTTATCCTAACGATTAGGCCTGGGCATAGTGAATCACTTTTTTTTTTAATTTTATTTTAATCAAATGGATGTATCCAAGATCCTCAGAGTATGCTAAGTGGCCCAGGCTGAACCAATCTCCTGAGCCGGCCCCAGGCTGCACTCCACACTATCTGTGTAGCAGGGGCTCCTGGGACCTGCCTGGAAAAGGCTGCCAAAGTGTGCAGGGGAGCAGGGCAGGCCTCTGTGCTGGGGCGTGGAGGATGACAAGCATAGCTAACAGGGCTGCCAGACAGCAGAGGGCCCAGGCCCAGGTGGGGAGGCCACGGCTAAGAAAATGTTTTGAGTCCTCCTCCTCTCTTGCAGACTTTTTAGCCAAGGCAAGAGTGTGAGAACACACAGGAACCCAGGAAGCACAGGAGCCCTCTTCCCTGCAATATGTGTTCTGCTAACACCTGGATCTTAAAAACACCTACCAGAGACGAAAAGAGGAAGATCCTCGCTCGGCCCTTGTCTGTTTGCACACGCATGTGGACGCACGCACGTGCGCGGGCACACACGCGCGCGCGCGCGCACTCACACATACCCTCGTGTGTGCACACTTGCACTAATTCCCACTGGCTTTCTTCTGAGGCTCCATTCTTCAGGTCTTCTATTACGACCGTTTTCTACTCACATTCCTTATTCTCGGGTCACAGATGGAAGCTTGGGTTTAAAGAGAGGAGACGTCTGAGTCCCTGAGGTAGCGCCATTCCCTGCAGTCCTTTGCTGGGGTTAATTAATTTCTCCTCCCTATTGGTTGTGCATTCCCTCAGGGTGGTGTTAGGTCTCAAACCTAAGACAAACGTCACTCCGTGCCCGTGGCTCCTCCCAGTACTCCTGGCCCCGCCCCCTAAACCTCTCCCACCCAGGGGCTGGGTTTCCGCCGCCCCCCTCCCCCCAGTCCCACTCCCCTAGCCTGATTCTTTTGTAAGTAACTCAGTCATTTTGGCAATGCCAAGTCTCTTGGTTGGTGGCTCCCCTATTGCTCACCTTCCTCCTCTGTCCTCTCACGGTCCGGGTTAGTCTGGCGGCCATGTTCAGCCTGGACTCTTCCTTCTGCCTGCTTTCTTCCTTCATCTACAGTCAAATTCTCCGTACTTTAGGAGTAGTGGTGTCCTCCTCCTTTGATTTGTGTTTTCATCCAGGTAGTGTGTAGATTTCCTGAGTCCTGGTGGAACCACACACCTAGCAGCCGCTTAATAAACGGGGGTTAATAGCCTGACTACCCGTAAGGAGAGATGATAGAAGAGTGGGGGCGGGGTGTGGGGGGAGGTACACCCTCGGGGAAATTTACAGAACCTGTGTGTTCTTTCGGCGGGTTGTCAATCAAAGGCACAGCCTTGGTTTCCCGCTCTAAAGTAATAATTTGCTTGGACCTAAGACCCCGGTTTTCTTCTCTCTCCTTCCTCATCTTGGGAGCACTTCCTGGCAGCCAAGAAGAGCTTGGTTGGCTCCTAACTTGAACTCCAGCACTTCCTGCAGGGGGAGGGGGTCTCATAATTGCTGCCCACAGCTCCCCAGGGCCAGCCTTGGCTGGTCCCCAAAGACCTCAGGCAAACAGGACTGGGGTTTCAGAGGCCTGCATCCCAAGCCCTGCACTGAAGGAGGAAGCAGGGCTTCAGTTTCCTGGATCAGCATCTTTGTGACCACTAGCCTGCTGAACCAAGCCGCCTCTCAGCATGGTGGTCAGCTCTACACAGGCTGATGTTCTCAGGCCTGTGCCACTCAACAGAGTGCCCTTGGCTCTAAGATGTTCAAGAGAGGTGTACCACAGAGAGAACCTCAGCAGCCTCCCAGGTGCCTGGGCAATTCCAGCACCACAGACATTTCCGGCTTGCTGGCCCTTCAACCCACATCCCCTCTCTTCCCCTCTCTCTAAGAAGCACCGTTCTGATTTCCTTCTGAGGAATGAGCCCTGTGCCACTTGGACACAGTCTAATGGGACCACCATCATTCAGGACGTGTGCCTTCCTGCAGAGCCCCCAGCAGAGTGCGCATGCTCTCCCAGGAACCTGAGGTATAGGCAGAACGAAGGCAGGTAGTCGCTGCTGCCCCTATTCTAGCAGCGTCTCTGTGGCCACATTCCATCTGCTTCCACCAAGGGTATTTCTCTGGACAACCAGGTCTCCACGCGTTTGCCCTGACACACCAGCCTGCTCTCTTACCCTTCCAGCTGCTGCCACATTTTTCTACTTCCCATTCTGTTGCACATAACCTGAAAGCCCCAAACTGCCACACCTACATCCTGGGGCAAAGGCAAGGTGATCAGTCATCTTGTTGCCCCTCGTGCCATAGTGGTAGGCTCCAACTGTGGCAAGGCCAAAGCTCCAGGCCTGACACCACCTCTGTCTGAGGACCCCATTGCCCTAAACTTGTTTCCTCATCTCTAGAATGGTAATGTTTTCTAGCCTTGTGGCAATGGGGTGTGTGTTGATAGAATACACAGAGGATGCTTCCTTGTTATCAGGAGTGGCTGGTGGGGGCTGGGGACACAGTCCAAAGCTCCAGAGTAGTCAGGAGTAGCTGACAGGGGTCCAGGGTAGAGTCCTGATAGAAACATTCTCCTTGCTCACCACCCATTCATTCCAGGAGGCATCTGAGAACCCCAATCAGCGTCCTGCTGATCAAACACACCAGAGTCACCTCAGTGCTTTTTTGGCTGTGCAGAAATCTGGGGTGTCCAAGCCCAGCCTCCCAAGGCCCCGTTCAGGAAAAGGCTTCTTGAAATAAGAGGAGGTTGGCTGCCAAGTTGAAACAGCACATAAACCTTAGAACCCACAGATTTGAGGGAATTCTAATCTTGGCCCAAACTGGCAGAAGGAGGGGTGTGGGGGAGGGGAGGATGAGTCAGAGATTCCACCCCTCCGAGGGGGCAGCCTAATATGGCGTTGGGAAGCCAAGAGAGACAACTTAGGTATGCCTGGATTTTCAGACTGGAGCCATGACTCTGGCCAGGGACCAGCTGTGCACCCCCACACGCGTGCGCACACCTACCTCTCAGAGGCTCGGAGCAGAGCTTTAGGACAGGGGATGAGTCAAAACGGAGGCCCAGAGCAGCTTGGAAGAAGCCAGAAACTCACGCATGAAGTGACAGCAGCCAGCCTTCACCCAGAATGCACTGGGGCTCGGTCCCGTGTAGCCCTGTGTTTTGGGGGCATAGTAAAGCCCTTGGCTGACTCTCAGGTCTCCAAAATGTGGTTGCCTTAGGATCTGTCTCCAAGGACCTCTCAGCATATGAATGTCAACATGAAGAGCGGAGAGCCTCCAAGGCTGAGACTTCAGCTCCTACCATAACTCTATAGGTTACAGAAACACAAGTTCAAGATGGCTCTTGAAGGAGTTGGTGAGAACTTACTTGGCTTTGTGTGGTCCTGGCTACCTCCTCACTAGCCAGTTGACTGTGGGCATAGGTTTAGGCCATCTGCAAATGAAAGGGCGTGGAGAAGTGGTCCTCACAGCCAAGGTTACTAAGAGTCTTCTGGAAGGAGCTGGCTCAACCGACTGGGGAGGAGCCTAAGAATCTGCATATCCAACCAGTCCCTCGGGTTAAATTAAGAGGGGGGAAAGAATGCTTTATCTTATCGCCACATCCCAAGTCCTCTAATTAGACCAACTTAGATCACAGGCCCCTTCTGGCCAATAGTTACATAGCCACCTTTGCGGTAATAGACCAGGCCTATTAGGTCCTGGGCTCCATCCCTGGAGACAGGATTAATCAGCATCCCCAGAAACAGATCACACAGCAGTGGGGCTGTTGGGATGAGTCAGGGGACAGAATTATACCTGAAAGGTGAGCAGTAATTACCCATGGGGTGGGGCGATGGCAGAGCCATAATGGAGACCAAGGAGGCTCTGCTCTCTCCAGCACACCTGGCCATTTCTGTTTGGACCCTCTGTTGAAGAGCTCAGATGGTGGTGGTGTTTGCTGAATGTAGGCTGAATGTAGGCTTCTGGTGAGTGAGGGAAAACTCTAGAGAAACACCTTGTTCTCCTTCAGCAGGGACTACACCTAACCATCACAGACCAAAGGATTGTATCTATCCCAGTACTTGAAGGAAGGATGCAATAATAGGTATTTCTGCAGAAAACTTCAGTAACACTCTCTGGTCACCTGTGTGTTCCCTGTATCAACCTGTGCTCTGTAATGAATATACAGAAAACTATAATGTGGTCTTCAACACGAAGACATTTATTATTTTTTTTTCTAAGAAAATGTGAACAAGCATCTACCTCCCCCAGAGGGGGCATCAACGTCAGACCAAAGTACAATTGCCCTAAAGCCCATCTTGGCAAACCAACAAGTTTATTTGGCCTTGGTAAAGGGTTACTACCACGAGAGTGAGCGACCCTAAATCAACAGCACCAGTAAGGAGCCTTACCCAGCACAGATGACAACTTCCCCATAGCTGTAACGGCGGAAGTGCCTCTTCAGCTCATCTTTCATACTCTACACATACCATCTCCTGCCAGGAGCATGAGATCGAGTACAGCTGGGGCAGAATTACATACAGCTGGGAGGGACATGGAAGAAGAAGCATGTGGAATTGATGGTGGCACTCTAATGACCCTCCTCTAGCATCTCCTTCTATAAGGGAACATCAGCAGGCCTCATCTTGAGGGTCTTCTCCGGAAGACATTGTTCTACAACAATTTGATACATGAAGTCTGTGTCTGACCTCAGAGAGACTCCTGAAGAATGAAGACAATAAAAAATGATAATAATAATAATAATAATAAGATGATGATGATGATGATGATGCTGTAGTTGGTGGTGATGTTAATATGCCTCTTTCTTTGTCCTTGGGGACTGGCACTTCCTTTTAGGTGCCTGTTGGGATCAAAGGTTCACATGTGCAGTGATTTCCTCTAAAACAGGCCAATGATTTGCCTGAGCCTTCCAGACTGAGCCTGCACTGACTCATCCAAGTCTGCTAGCTGAGGAGCTGAAGAACCTAGAGACTTAGCATTTGGTCCACAGTCCTAGGTGTCAATCCTGGACCAGGAGTGGCTCTCAAGTTTAAATCTTAATTGTATTCAAAGATGATCAGAGTGCTTGACTCGAGCCTCATTTACCAGAAAAAGGAATCATGTTAGACTTTAATCTGCATGGAAAGTCTGAGCTCAAGACGTCTGAATTCAATGAAACAAGGTCATGTGACCTTATATAAGCCCTGTTCCCCATCTGTGCTTCCATTTTCTCATCAGCAAACGTAAGCATTTATCTCTCATAGGTGGCTGAGAATATTGGAATGTATAGAGCACCTAATGCTTTCCAGATATCTGAGAAGTACTAATAAAGATTAGCAATGATCATTTGACTCAGATGACATAGATTAAGCCCCTCCTATAGGTCATAAGAAATCAGATTAGTTGCACATTCACAACCTTGTCCTCCATGGAGCCATAGTCTTGCAGAAGAAAAGACTCAAAGAAAAATAGTCCACAACACATGCTATCACTGAGCTTTGCATGAAACAGGAACTTTGCCTAGAAGAGAGCAGGAAAGACCTTGGAAGGGTAGAGTGCCCAACAAAGGCCTTGACTCTTGCCACAGGAGGGTGTTGGGAGGGGAAAACAAGAGGGAGTGAACAGAGATGTGTTATGAACAGGCCTGCTTGCCCATGGGGTGATGGATTCGGGGCAAGAGGAAGGTGCATTTCTGAAGGGGAAGGATATGTCAAGCCTGGAAAATTGGTTGTATAGCAAGCATTGATTTAGGCTTTGCCCTGAGGCAGCAAGGGGCAACAGTAGTTTTTAAACAAGAGAATAGAATGGGACTGTAGGATTTAAACAACAACAACAACAAAACAAAACAAACCTGAAAGTAGTAACAGAGCGGGAAAGTAGGGCGGAGAGGAAGGGATGAGGGAGGCTAAGCCAATTAGGAAGCTGAGCCCAGGCCGTATACCACAAGGATACAGGCGAGACCGGATAATGGAGATGGGAAAGATGGCCTGGGCTTAGCACATTTTGTAGGAGGATAGACAGGAAGTGGTGGTCAACTGAATATTAAACAGAGAGAGCAGGGGAGGGGATGATAAGTCTCTAGCTTAGGAGGTGGGGAAGACATCTTGACAGGTTAGAAAGTTCAAGAAATAGGAGCTGTTTGAATGAAGCCCATGGACAAATATCAGGAACCATTATGTGTCCTGCAGGCCACCACTTCACACTTAGTACATCCTGTTTCTTTAAAACAGTAAGTCACTGCAGGACATGGAGTCTGCTTTCAAATATTTCCCTGAGAACGCCTCCAAGAGACCAGGAGCTCCATTTTCTGATCATTCCATCCAGATTGTTACAAATGCATCCCTAGGCTCACTCAGAGAACAAATAAAACACAGCTACAAATGCAGACCACACCTCACAGAGGGCTGACGCATGCCCAGATAGTCTCCTCAGCTACCATTAATTAATGCACTTAAGAAACAGCTACTTTA